GTTGAATTGAAATATGATGTTGAACACAATGAATGCTAAACTTTAGTAGTTATCAGAAAGCAGTGCGACACTGTTTTCGATAAATATTTGATACTGTGAAACTTATGTTTCAAATTTAGTCTGATGTTTGCTTACAGTATACCAAAAACGTAGGTTTCCACTGCTAACGATATAGGTTCCGTATTTGGAGTTGCATACCTTATTAATATTCATGTATTAACTTGACATGAAAAATTATATTGCGCAACTGATGCATTTAAATAAGAGAAATAAATTACGGTTTATAAAGAGATATAACTGCACTTTCAACAACTGACTTGTCACACATCGTATCACAAGTTATCATTTACTTGACTAAATTGTATAAATTAGACGTCTAGCTTTTCTTCCTTTACCAAATAGTCATAAGCTACTACTTATTTGGAGATCTCAAAAGGATCCCGAGTGAAAAAGATTTTACTTCAATAATGAAGTGAAAACAAACGCATTTTTTAAAACTAAATATAAATCTTCTTACAAGAAAAGCATAGAACTGCCAGAGAGGCATTGAATTTGTTGTTGAGAGAGCTTATATTTATGACTAATGTCATAAATGTTTTTTTAAAGGTTCCGAGCTTATTGAGTGCTGTGTTAGTTTACAGATAGCTAAGGTTATAGTAATAAGGTAATAGTTGTTAATTAGAATTCTGTTTTTACAGATTCTAAATATAAATAGAAACTTAATTATAATGTTATATATGTCAGTAAATTAAAGTTGTTAAAAGTAAAAGCTCATAATATAAATTTTTTATATATTCAGTAGTTATGCATAAAATATGGAACTTATATTGTAACATATTAATTTTAACAATTTTTTTATTGCAACCATTTTATACATAATTTACAATTTATTCGATTTATTCGAATTATTATAATGACACAATTATTCATCAAATACGGCGTGGCGTTTCTCTCACCTTTCAATAATAAAAATCGTATCTGCCACCAACAGACAAATGAAAATGTATCTGTAATTTTCTTTTCAAAATCAAAAGTAACAATTTCTAAACGAAAATATAGAATATCCCGCGGTGTTCAAAATTTCTATATAAATTGTGAATTATGTATTTTACCCAACCGATACGAAGTGATTTGGTGTGCTAAAGGGGGGTGACTAAATCTTTCTATTTTGCCTTTGATGTAATTAAGTTACAATGATTTCCCGTATAGGCGAGCATTACATGATTTGTTCAACATTTTTGTTCTTCAATTGTGGATATTTTGACATATGTGCTTATTGATTGATTTTTATGTTTTTGAATATAAAAAAGTATGAAATCAGTTATGCACACATTACATTCATATTACCGGAATTTTCGAAATTATACATCATTAATTCTAATATCAATCATAAGTTACCTTAATAATGTATAATTCAATCTAATTTTCATATCAAAAGTCGATGAAAATAGAATATATAAAAAATATTAAAAAATTACTAAAACTCTATTATATTTAGTACGATAAATGGAAATATTCATAATTAAGTAAAAAAAATCATTATGAAATTAATTATAGAAAGTTATGCCAAATTTTTTAAAAAAATATTTTAAAATGTATTTTTTAAAATGTATTTAAAACGTATTCAAACATAGCTTCGCAAAATCCTTATCATTCTTCTTTAACCCTAAATTAATTATCTTCTACACAAAAACACCTTTGAAGTATCGAAATAAATGAAGATACGTCGCTAAGCCATTTTATATACAGATATAAATGAAGCATATTTCAGAAGCAACTTCAACATAGAAAACTATCCTATAAGAATTTAGTTGAGATAAACAGAAAGTGATATTTGTTATTGAAAGTATATTGTATGGTAATTAACCGAACAGCAAAAGTAATAATTTACTTCATTTAGAGCAGTGTGAACAGATTCGAAATATTTTAATTAATTAAAATATTATTAATTATAAAATAAAATTAAATTAATAATGAAGCGACCAGCAAAAGTGATTATTTACTTCATTTACAGCAGTGTGAACAGATTCGAAATATATTAATTAATTTACCTTCCGCTTATTTTATTTTCTAAGTATTTCAGTAATAACGAGTGAGTATTATTCACACGAAAGTAAATTAATTAATCCAGCTAGTTACAATATTTGTAATATATATGCAGCTCTACAGTAGTTTCAATTAATTTTTAGAAATTTACTTTTTACCTATAACTAATAATAAACTTGCAATGAAATAATTGAAAGTGTTCCTATTAGTTAAAATCATTATAATTGTGAATTTTCCAGAAAGACAGCAATTTTGTTCTCAATAATGAAATAATTAACAAGAAAAGAAAAGCAAATACTCTTCATCAATACAATTATTTCACAATTGAAAGATTTTATATCTATATGCAACATTTTCCCAAATATATTTATATATATGTATATATATATTTTTCCATAAAAATGTCTTTCTATGACAAATGTTCTTTAATCAAGTTCGAACTTCCCTATTTTCCTCTTCCATGTAGATTTGTCTGCTATTGCCTCACTCCAGTCTATAATGTTCAGAAAAGTTATATATATGACTAGCAAACCTGATTAAATTAAGATTAAAATTAAGATAAATAATATATTAATTAATATTAATTAATTAAAATTAAGATAAATAATATGTATTCGCCAGTTATTGTAAGAGTAAGCTAGAAATGCTATAATTTAGAGGCTTTATTCGTTTCCATATTTGAACTATCTAAAATCATTAAAAGTCGCAGTACTAAGCTTTGTTCAATCAGTTTAAAAACTGAAAGTCTAGCTTTAATAATTAAACAATAGACAAAGAGGCAGACAGACATACGGATCGACCGCAGGGCAACGCACAGTGTGGAAGAATTAAAATAAGACGATAAAAATTCGGTATTATCTGAATCAAGAGAGATAGTAAAATACCGTTTTTTGTAAACTTTTTGAGATTGGCATCCCTTTGTGTAGCGTCCAAAATAAATGCAAATAAGCCCATCTTGGAATAGAATAGAAATAAATGGGGCACAAGCTCCCAACGGAGCAGAGCACTGCGACCAGATTGATCTTTTGTGCTGCAACTGACCCTAACCGAACAGAAGACATTCCGCTTTTCGAATGAAAGCCAGAATGTCGTCCGTTGAGGACCTCCTAATGTCAGTAAGAGATAGCAGCTCTCCTCCCAGTGACCTCCTCTTTGCCCAGATCAAGGCTGGGCAGTCATAGAGAATGTGACTGGTAGACTCGTCTGCTTCTAAGCAGAGTCGACACTCCGTCTCCTCGGACAGATCCATTTTGGAAACAATAAGGAATATTTTATTTTAATATCAGAACTAAACCGAACTATATTGATATGCCTTTACTATGTTATGGTCATGTCCTCTTCAGAATTTCAAACATTTTATCAAATTTTATATTATATGTTCTTATATTACATATATCACTATCCAAATATTATGTATTGTATAATTGAAATGTAATCTATTTTGGCACTCTAACAATATCATTTTGGTTTAGAAAGCCTAAAATATGTTTATATACCTTTCACAAGAGGTTTGTAACACAAAGGAGGAGATCTGGAAGACTGTATAAGTCTCTATACGACTACATTTTTAATCAGCACTACCAGATAAATTTTTATAATAATATTCCTATGTTTATTTGGATTTCGACAATAAAACTAAGTGAATGAAACTTATCATACGAACGTTTCAATTAATGCAGTCGGCTTAAACTAGATATGAATATATAGTTCCCTGTTTAAATTTGTATATTATTCAATAAATATTATTATGTATTCAATAAATTTGTGTTACATGTTACAGTTACCATCTTTTTACCTACAAACAGACAGTTCCTCCTCAGTTGTTGAGTTGAGGTTGTTAATACTCTTAACCTGCAATACCGCTTAAACGATATAGATAGATCCAAAGTAACAGAATGTCGTTTTTGCTTGAAATGGAATGGAGTTTGTAGTCATATTATTTGTGACTTTTCTGCTTTGGTTTGGTAAAAATATATTAGGAATTTTTCTATGATCGATCAATTATCTTTCATTTGGTAAGGGCCAGTTGTTACACTAAAGATCTATTAGGTCAATTATTAAAAAATATAATGTACAGGAATTATTATTATAATTTAAATAAAATATATAAATATATAATTTTCAGCATACTCGTATACCAAGAGTAAAGTAAATATAAGCAGAATTTTCAGGGAAGAGAGTGTTTTAAAAATATATTTCAGTTATGTTATTTCAGAATAACATATATACTAGGTTGTGAATTAGTGAGATTTAAAACCATTATTAGATTATTTAATTGTTCATACTGTTACATAAAATTTTAACAATTTCACAAAAAATTTAAACAATACTGCAGATAAGTAAAGCTTGTTGGTCGCAGAGACTTTAATATTTTTTTTTCTTATAATAATACACTTTTTTCCCTTTAAGTTAATGTTTGGCTCCTATAGGGATTTGTGTATAATCTTTGAAAAATAGTGCTTCAAAAAAAACATTAATGAAGTTTTCACAGCCCATTATTATTTTGTGATGGAGATGTGTATATAATTATTTTCATTGAGTTAAGGTTGTCGTTCGTATTTAATAGATAGTATTCGACATTTAACACACATAATTTTGAGACTGACTAATGAATGATCTGATAATTTGATCAGCGAAAATTTTGCGTTTTCAAAGTTAAAAAAGTAACTTAGAGGGCAAAACTACATAACAATTGAAGAGGTTATGTTCGTTTAAATGTCCTAAAGGCTATGAGGCAGTTTACTGTTTAGAATAATCAAATAAGTTGGAGCATAGTTAAGATAAGAGGACATTATGACAAAAATAAATCAGAACAAAATAAAAAAATATGAACTATTCCAATGGAAATAAATTTTTATTTTGTTATAAAAGTATAATATCATGATATATTTGTAAAACTATCTCTCTGAATTCAATTGATTTCGAAATATAAATTTTTTATTTTTTCTTTACAGGGAACTTTATGCAATAATAGAAAATCATAAATTTACAAAGGCTTCATATGGAAAACTTCAAGCAATGTGGTTAGAAGCGCATTACATTGAAGCAGAGAAACTGCGTGGCCGATCGCTAGGTAAGTGAATATATAATTAGGAATTAATTTTTAAAAGATATCTTTTACAAGACAATTTTTCTTGCCAAGAATGACGCGTTTTTATGGCGAAAAGAAACTATTTAAAAGTTAGAAGAGTTCGGGTAGAAACGAAAAGACAACAACAAAAATTTAGTTAATTTTATTGATATTTATTTTATGGAGTATTGCAACACCACTGACAATGAAAATTGACTAAATTTTTGTTGTTGCCTTTTCATTTCCATTCGAACTCTTCTATTAATTTTTTTTTCTCATATATGTATATATTTTTCAAGAGAAATGGAAACAATTTATTTTTTTCATGATTAAACGAAAATACTAAACTGTGATCATTTGAAAACAAGTGCATATGTACTTATGCTACCACCATATTTTTTTTTTTCTTTTAAGTATAGTTGTCACCTTACAACTCTACTCGACTTTGTTTTTCCTAAGCACTTGTATTCTCATTGTCTCCATCGAGCATTATTGGACACCACGATTTCATTTTAGATGTGTAAACTCAATGCTTTCGAACCTGGTATGTCTTCTATATCATATATATCATTTGGAAAGATATACAAAATGTCCTATATAATGCACCTTAATATTCACTACTAGAAAGTTTCTTTTCTATTCATATCACATTCCTTCTACAACATGTTTTCAGCAAATAACGGCAATCATAGTACTATATTGGTTTGTCTGTTCGGTCACTTATTTTATGATTACATCTAAATTTTTAGCTGTGTAGAGATTCATTCACATTTTTAATTGTGTAAAGATTAAAGTGCCGTTGTCACTGTGAAGAGCAAGTAATATTATATTTTGAATTTGTCATATGGTGTGAATCAAAATGAAATTTCTGGTGTTAATTTATTCATTTCAAAATATTAAAATTCTCTACTTCATTATCCGTTATTATTATCTCAGGACATCGACAACAGTACACGATATGTTCTTTTCACGAGATCACTTGTTCGCGTGGAATTGATATATTGCAAGTCATTGTCATTGAAGTATTATTTGAATTTGTTAGATCTAAGTTATGTCTCTTTAATGGTAGTGACAAAAAAACGGTATATTCAAAACGAATTTAATTTTAGTACCTTTTACTGCTTGTAAAATAGTAAAAATGATATATTCAATTTTTTTTAAAATTAACCAATATGAATAAGATGGGGGAATTAAACGAAAAGGAGCTTAAAATCTATAAAATTAAAATCGCAAAATAGAATATTTACTAATGACTTCTGCAGGCACAATAGATCTTTTAGGTCGCAGTGCACGATCCCTTACTCAATAATAAATGACTTCTGCAGCAGTCGCTGTTATTGTAGATATACCAACATATTTTAATATATTCACACAATTATACCTATTCAGAAACCCTGTTACTTGTCAAAAACTAATGTCTCATCACACTATGATAAAAACTACAATATAAAAAAAACAAAGTAACAGAATTTTCTATAGACCTCTGATAATGGATATGTGGAAATATCCGAAACAGCTGTATGGTCAGCCAAGAATTTATTTAATTAAAAAAATTTCTTTTGAACTTAGATATTTTCTAACTATTATTACTAAAATTTTATGCAATATATCGTTATTCGTTATACTTTTGTAATATACTAGTACTTGATTCATGCTAATTTATATAAATTATTATTTCAATTGAAAGTTCTATAGATTGGTTTAATTTTTGTTAATATCAAATTTTTTGTTAAGGCAATACTAAATGGATCCTTATCAAATTTATTACGATTTTAAGGTATCACAAGCAAACTTAGTAGTTGTCTTTTAATGACAAGAAAAAAAAAGTAATATAAATTGGCGATTCTACAAGTTTAGTACTTTAAAAAAATATGGTATATAATATTCACTAATAAAAAGAATTATAAGTAGTAATAAGTAAGGGCTTATGATGAAGGTATGATGAGTAAATAATACTTTTGTGTAGCTACCGACTTATGTTTGTTTTATTATAAATTAGTACTATATAAAATCTTTGGATTATAATTAAGCTGATTGAATATTAAAAGCAATAAAAGTGTATTTTTTCGGATCTAGATCTATATGTAGCAGATGAAAAATGAATAATTAATTTTCTTACTTACTGTATAAGAGTAAGTATTTTTATTATTTATAAAAGTATTTTATTCGAATCTGTTATATGACATTATTTGAAATCTGTCTATAAGAAACGTTCGTTATTGACAACACTTTACGTTTAATATTAATGTTAAATAATATAAATTTTAACAGTTACCATAGATTATTCCAATTTCAAGAAATATCTATTTATCATACATAAATTCATTAATTGAATTTGTTTCAAAAAGTCGAAAATTATATATACATGAGTTTATTTTTTTATAAAAATTCATCAAATTGGTTTCATATGTCGCATTAATACCAGGATCATTTGGAGCTCAACAAGAAAAGTGGAAAAGATTCGAATGCAAATATAAGTGATATCTCACTAAAATTCTGGACTTCATGTGAGAAGTCAATGTGAATCTTAATTATGCTATAAATAGTTTCTTCATATTTTATCAGGATCGGTTTAGTTATGAATACAGTTTCTACATTGTCTAATGAATCCGAATTAAGTTGTTTGTGAAATTTGAAATTTATTGAAGATTTATTTGTGAACAAATTAGAATTATGACTTATTCGATAGCAAAATTTTTTAAATAATTTGTTCAATTTTTTTAAAAGCCGAATTATTTCACATAGTTTTCACAATTCCGAATCAATTTAGTATGTTTATTTTTATATTAAATTTTTTTTATAAAAAAGGAAAGCTGCTTTTGTTGTACACGTAATATGCAAAACTGAAATCTAGTTTTTTTAACCCAATTAATAACGTAATTTTTAAACAACATAATTATTACCACATTAACCCTTTATACAGCTTTTTATTTGTACCAAATAAGAATTATAATTTATTCGATTTTAACACTATTTGAATGGCTTAAACGATTTTTTTAGTATTCCAACAATTTGATACAAATGAGTTTCGTATAATGAATATTAGTAATATTAAAATTTAATAAAGATTATTGAAAATATGTATTTATAAAAGCAAATCAGTATATTTTCTTGCTGTTAAAATTAGAATTCACTTGTTTAGCGCTGTAAGATATAAGGTGATTAAACTTATATCTTACTTCGTTATATATATTTTCATTAATATGTTATTTTTTTTAAGAACAGCCATATTTAATAAAAATATCAGAAAAAAATTAAATAAATACCTGTTTCATATTAATTTTTAGGTCCCGTTGATAAATATCGTGTGAGAAAAAAATTTCCTCTTCCTCCAACAATTTGGGATGGAGAACAAAAAACTCATTGTTTTAAAGAGCGTACAAGAAGTCTTTTACGCGAATGGTACCTTCAGGATCCTTATCCAAATCCAACGAAAAAACGTGAACTAGCAAAAGCAACAGGCCTTAATCCAACACAAGTTGGTAATTGGTTTAAAAATCGTAGGCAAAGAGATCGTGCAGCAGCTGCAAAAAATAGGTAAGTTAATATGCCTTCTTAAATGAAATCTTTTTAATAGATAATAGTTAATTGAATAATGTAATCAATATCTTATACTGGTATAATGACAACAATTAGAAGGGAATGCAATTTCAAAGCACCGTGCTTTGATTATTATTATTGATACATGAGAATAAAGGCATTCCGCACATGAAGCTATCACAATAAATTAACACTAAAGTAGTTAATTTATGATATCATATGTTAACTTCTTGTAAGTTTGTAAATATATTGTATCATATTTACATATAAAACTTAAACTATGATTGTATTTAAACCACAAAAGCCACTATTTTTTCACTATATACACACCACATTAGTTTTAATAATTTACGTACATACATACCTATATTACATACATACATACACTCAACATGCAACTTGACAATACGCACCTTCGCCTACATTGAAATATGTTAAGCTCCAAAGCACTGTGCGAAATTTGAGACATGAGCTAAGAAATAAGAAATCCAGTGTAACTGCCGGCAATCCGATACCTTCAGTTACTACAACATGGTTACTGCCATCATACATAAGTTATATTTGTAGCTTCTACATCACATACACCATACATCACATACTAAGATACTAAGATACTTATGCATACATTTATGTACTATGAAAGCTTTGAAGCATTTGGTTGCATGCAGATGCCGCCCGTGGCGTTTCAACTTCATTGAACCGTGCCGAACACACTTTTGGCGGCAATTGTTTTACAAGCGTTCTCAATTTCTGTTTTGTGGTTTGATGTTCCCACATAAAAATGACCGCCGCGTTTTCTGCTCCTACAAAGTATTTAATAAATTATTTATTGTACACCGTCGTCGTATTTAAACAACTACTGAATTCATTTGTACTTGTACTATGTGTGAAAATTAATAATAAAAAATTATATTTCTAATTTTGACAAAATTAATAAGGCATATGAATACATAATTTTTATTTAGCTTATTATATACATTTTTGGACAATATTAATTTTATTTGTTTATTACGAATAAAAACATAGTAACAAACATTATTATTATAACAAAAATTATGTTAGTTAGTTAAATAGTTAAGGTGGAGGGAGGAATCCACCGCTATAACTGCTCGTTATAATGAGTACGAGAAGGTCAAGCTATAACCAACCATAAGCATCAATAAATGCGAGAATCTGACCAATCCTTATACTGGAGATATCGCTGAGTGTGTTTTAAGGCAGGGGGCCCCCAAAAACTTGAGCGTAGTTCTGGTCAAGACTGGACATAGACACATATAGGTATTCTCGTGTCCTTTCTTTGAGAGCCGAGCTTAGCTCAATGTCGTTCTATGAACCAGTTCGCTGTAAAGACAGATATTAAACTAAATATCTCTGATTTGGTTATGTGTATCAAGTCAGAGGTTCTATATTTGGAATATATTGATCATATAGTCCTTGATCTGACTGCAATAACGATATGGGTCCACTCACTATTTGTCTGTTGCAAAAAATGATCATAAATCAACCTCCGACTGTAGCTGGTAGGAGCAGGGATTGAAATAAGAGTTTCCGTAGAGGCACCCAGTCTAGCAAGCTCGTTTGCGCGTTTATTTCCTTACTATATTAGAATACGTGGGAACCCAAACTAGAGTTAACTTGGATCTCTCACTTAGTGCGTTAATAAATTCTCTACATTCTTGCACTAATCTGAAGGAAATACAGACCACTGATAGAGCCTTTATTGCTGTCTGACTGTCAGTAAGAATATAGACTTCTTTTCCACGAAAGTTCATGTTTAGAGTAAATGAACATGCTCTAGGGATGGACAAGATATCTGCCTGAAATATTGAGGTAGAATCAGATAGATGATAGAATTTATTAATCCTTAGGTCAGTGGAAAAGATTCCGGCTCCAACACCTCTGTTCATCTTAGATCCGCCGATACATACTATCGCTATCTTTCATTTCTTTTGCTTTAAACTCTGATTAATAGTTCTTAATAAAAAGATATATTTAAAACCATTGATCAGGCAGCAGGGTCGTATGATAACTCTGATTAAAGGGTTGTCTGATAGCTTAGACCCAAAGAACATAGTTAGGTTTTACACCATAATTTTTACTAACAGAATTCTTATCAAGAAATAAAGCCAATGCCGTTTTTAATTGAAAATTAATATAGCTGATTTACTGATGACATTAAATGGTGAAAAATGTAGCAAAAAATGTATTGCTAAAGCTGATATGCACTTAATTTTTTTTGACCTGATTAATATTCAGTATTAAGAAGTTCTATATATTGAATCTGATTACAGATTCAATATTCACAGTTTGGTTTTACACGCCATTTGTATGTTTCTCAATAAATGGTAGGAGAGTAGAGAAACCTTTCCACTCCACTTAATATTATATTTGTCATTCCATTTAGATATATTTAAAATTATAAAAATCTTAATTTCCTACAATTTTTCTGAATATGACACAGATCGATTGTGGTATTCCCTAAATTATTATTGTAAACAAAATTTCTCTAAAATGTAAAAAGGATTTCTATAATACATAATGTCTCTTAGAGTAGTAAGAAATATAATACTTATTACCTTAGATATATCATCTGTAATGCAACTTCTTTACAAGTGGCAATCGGTGTTTTCCAATTCTAATATCATTATTAGAATTATTATTAATATTAACGGCTTTTAGCCAAAGCAAACTTCACCACTTTAATTTTAAATTAAAGTGAAGAAAAATAGTATTTTTATATTAAATGAAATGTATGAAAACAGTTTCAAACCCATGCATTTTTTATCTTTTGAGTTCAAGCAAACACAAAAAAATATTATAGATGTTAAATAATAAAGGATCGAATACGCTCAACTAAAAATATTTTTACTTTTCCCCATATTCGGATGATTAAATACATTTATACTAGTTCCAATTTCGTACGGCAGTTTTCTTTTAAACTTTTTATTCTCAGAAATTTGCACTATATCATTCTATTGGCGCTTTAACCAGTAGCTTAAGATTATAAGTGATATTTTTAAACGGCTTTTATAAGCGCGGTTCTTATTTGTATATTTCAGGAATACGCAGTGTGGAAAAACACTTAAGTACACACATCAGTCGATTTGTTCGCTATAACCATAACCGATTATTTTTATTTATTATTTTGTTTATTAATAATTTTAACAAGGGAAACGAAGGGTTTCACTGGTAAGACTCACTGTTCAAACGAAAAACATGTTAAGTGCAATGACAATGCAGATTCAAAATTCCTGCAAAAGGAATAAGACAGGTCGAGTGAATTCGCGAAATTATTCAAGTAAAAAAACTTCAAATATATAAAGTATTTAAGAATAGAGCCAATACGATAAGAGACGGAGTTCGAAAACTGTATGAGCTGCCTGGGTTATGAAATTTGCCGATAAATAGATATGGAAAAAACTCACTGGAACACTGGTGTGAAATCAAAATTGGTCGAAAACGACTTTAAGATCCTTTCCACTATCAAAAATGTATTGTAGCTCATATTGAAATTCTTATATAATAACTTCTTCATTTTGAGGGTAATTTTATAAGTCAAAAGTAACTGCACCATCAAATTTTAAAATATTATTGTAATATTTTATTTAGCAATATTCAAACACTTTATTTTTATCTATTAATTTTTTATCTTTTTACACAGTGTAATGTTTTAAATACTTCAGATGAATTCAGTTCATATAAAATAAAACTATTCCCATGAATTATTAAACTATATCATCATAAAAATGCAGTTCTAAATTAGTACAAGACATGCAATTGTAAATATCAACACTAATTATTCATTAAAATAAAACAACTTCATCAATTAAATGTGTGGTTTTTATATTAAAATACGTAGCATTTAAAAATAGTGCTACTTTACAGCACTTATGGGTACTGTATAATGGATTTTGAATTAGAGAAGTTTATTATATGATGTTATTTGATTAGAAATTCAATATTTTATTATATCTTATTTTGACATGATTCTTCATTTTATATGTCAATCATAATTAATTATTTAAAGTCAACTATATCAAGGTTTTACTAACTTTTTTTCTTTCTTTCAATTCTTATACTATTATATTCTGGCTATTGTTATATAGCCATATTATTTTTACAATAAGAGACTACTAAATTCTCAGATTTAGCTTTAATTGTATCCTGATATTTTTAGTAATTCCGTATTAGTAAGTAAATCAATTAAAGTTTTTCATCCGTTTGATCTGCCTGGATTCACAATACCTCTATATATAAAGTTACATTTCATTCTCTAAACAAAGTTATAGTTTCTTAAATTGACAAACAAATTATTGTCTTATTTTTATTAAATATTACATATAATTTAAATTTTAAAAAGAATATTATTCAAAAATATAAAATAATCATTATTAATTCTAACTATTTCTTTATGCGGTTCTGCCGTTTTGGTAGCTTTGCTTGTTATTTGCTAAATTCTAACAATATCTTAACATTCATTATAGTGTTCATCACATACATTTTAACCTGTATTTTCGCTAATATTTAGCATCACTAAAATGTTTCTGTATTTGCTACGGTAAATGATTTTTGGCGATATTTTCTCATAGTGGCACTAATACAATTTTTCTTCTTTATTTTTTAACAGTAAATTAAAAAAATGTATTATATATGATTTTCGAACCTCAAAATGGTAATTACTTTGTAAATAACCTTTATTTTTCAAAGAAAATATTATTACTACAAAAATTATCTACGAATTTTATACCAGCGACATCTATTGAGCCCAGAGAGAGTAAATGACTAATTCCATCAAAATAATTTCAAAGTACTTATATAAGCAAGGTACATACTATATAGTATATACAATTTTTCATATATTTATATATTTCGAAGATAATTGCAAATATATAGAAGCAGAAAAAAAGATTATCCTTTAATAGCTTTTAGGAAATTTGAAGAGACTAGTTGGTCTGTACGAATCGGGCAATAGACAGGCATACACACAAATTGAAAAG